TTGATGATGTTAATAATTTCCTCCAAGTTGAAAGAAAATGAATAATCAAACATTTTTTTGTGGCCTCCCCGTGTGAGAGTTGAAGGTCATGCACTAGACTCTACAACTCTCTCACTTCCCAGTGCAGTGCATGCTTGCAGGCTATAATACTGATCCCACAAGGACAATGAATAATCCTGTAAGTTGGTTCTCTGCAATAATTAAGTGCATGTAGTTCTTACTAATAAACTAGTGGTACGAAGTGGACATAAAATTAGGTGCTACTAATGAATGCCACCTTAGATATCACTAATTAATGGCAATAATGTGCACTAAAGGAAAAGTTCAGTGTACTCTAAGACTTCTTTGGACTTCTCTTCGGTTTTGTAATCTGTAGTGACTTGGGTCTTAGTTCTGGCTGATTTAATTCATCATAAACAACATCTTCTTTATTGGGATCTGCTGGTGATGATGAGGACCGTCCAGGTTTTATGGGTGGTGTACCTGGTGAAAAGACCTCCTCAGTTGGTGTGACACCATGTTCTTCAACCTCTGAATGGGTGGGCAAATCTCCACTACTATCCTCTCGGGACAATTTATTTTTAGGTTTTCTCCTTGCTTTACTGAAATCTAACCCTCCTGCTTCCAGTGAAGCCTTTAAGTTCAGCACAAGTCCACTCTTTCCTCCTTTCTTAGCATTTTTGCCAGTGGTATTTGTCTTTGCAAGTGAGATTATATCTGGGGCACTGCTTTTTCTACCCTTGAATGGTACCCCCTTGATGTTCGCAGCCCTCTGTGCTGGGATTGGATACTGGCCTTGAGTGCCTTTTGGTTGGTTCACCATCGTATAATCAATGCTAGCATAAGAATCAAGGTCATCTAAAGAAGACGACTTTTGAGGAACCCCTGGCTGCAATGCATTATCATCATCTAGAGAGCAGTGAAATGATTGCAGGCTTGAAGCAAAGTTCTTCCTTAACGCTGGAGAGTCTGCCGCCTTTTTGATAGGACTATGGAGGGGGCTTCTAGTAATGCTGCTTTCACTGGTCCTCTGGGTGGGGACAGGAGGTGGCACAGAGGCCCCTGTTCTTGTTGAATCCAGTGTATTGTACATGTCATCCATTTGATCATTTCTTGACTGTACATTATCCAATTTTTCATTATGAATTGCACTCTTCACAGCACCACCTCTTGAAGAATCAAGAGTACTATACATTCCATCATCATCAGCTGACAGTGAAGATTGTTTTGTAACCCTTGAAGGTGGAATTGGGTTGGCACCTACTCTTTTATCTGCATCAAGTGTATTGTAGACTTCACTACCCTCACCTGAAAATGTTTGAAAATGCATCTTCCTGGTTGTAACTGGTGACTGATGCCCGACTTTTGTATGATCCAGTGTGTTATACATATCGCTATTTTCATCAAATGTCTGCTGGGATTTCAGATGTTTCTTAAGTAGTTGATCAGGTGTTTTCCTTACAGGAACTGGAGGAGGCTGCCTTTGGTTTGACGTTTCCAGGGTGTTGTAGGTATTGTCATCAACTTCATCAGGCACTCTCCTTACCAGGGAAGGGGGAGCTCTACTGTTTATGCCCAAAGTATTATACGTATCATCATTTGTATTGGCAGGGGATGACTGAAGATTCCTGGCAAGATCACTGGAGAGCTTCCTAGCTGGAGATTTAGGTGATGACTTTGCAGCAGGTGGCCTGGTTCTTGGCAGCGGTTGAATAGGTTTACGAGGAGGTCTAGCAGGGGCTGCATGGTCTAGGGTATTGTATGTTTGCTCAAGCTGTGAAGGTGTTGACGACGTTTGATTTTTTGTCATGTCCAGGGTGTTGTAAGCATTTTCTTCATGTCCTCGAGACTCATTGTGTACCATGTGTGGAAGTGTTTCACCAAGGACATTATAAACATCTTCTGTGACTGAGTACTGAGAGGCTGCCGGTGTTTGAAATTTACCATGGTGGTGGGTGGTATTGTACATATCCTGTCCTTCTGTGGGTGGAGAAAGGCACTGATCAAGAATACAATATTCAGACTCAACAACACCTTTTGAACCCTTCTCCTCAAATCCTTGTACAGGGTGACTCAAGGTATTATACTCCTCACTGACATCTGAATCTGCAATCAATCTACTGTCTGGTACAGCTTGAGGTGTGCGTCTAATCAAAATGGGTGAAGCTTTTTTTACAGTATCTCTGGGAGGAAGGTGTCCATAAGGAGCAGCATATGCATTGTTCATTGAATTTGAACTTCCTGCCAACATCTGTTCATCTTTTCTTGGTGATGTTGCCACTGGGTTATCATAACCATTTTGCGGAACATCCTTCCTTTCATCAGTTGACACTGACTTTGTCTGTTCTGGTGGTTGATGTGATTTTGTTGTGCTTGTTTGCCCAGCACGGGACTTGATGACATTATCCAAAAGCTTATAAATCTCATCATGTTGTGGAGTAAGGAATGTAAACTTGCCCTCTCCTGTAGGTGCTCGCCGTCCAGCTTCCACTGTAAATTTTCCTCGTGTACTCATGTATCGCCTAAGACACGTAAAGGGCCAGGCCACAAGGAGCCTTCCATCCTTTGCACAGAGAAGTCGCAGTTCACTGTTGGCAACATGAAGATGGCACATATCACTTGCTCCCAGCTTTGTCATTTGTTCATTATTTTCTGGCTCCACATAGAATGAGTTAACTGTTTAACAAATCAAAAGACAGTGCAAAATAATAAATTAAATACCTCTCAGCAACAACACAGTCAAACATCTGTGTAACCAACTCACTTAATTTTGGATTCCCCTATTTACAAGATGTCCACCCAAAATACCAAGATTTTGGTGGCCCCTCATGAAAGTTTGCCATTATTGCAAGAAGTTATAACTGTAGTTAAGTAGCCTGAATTTCATCCAATTGCTTCGAGTTGTTCCCTCCTCTCAGCAGTGACGTCACTACCTGAAAACCGGGTAGTGATTTTGATTGGTTGATTGTCTAAACACTTACATAATTATGAGAAATTTTAGTGGGGCTATCGCTTGATATCCAGCAGATCGCATCCTTTGCATGCTTGCGTGGAGTTCAAACATTTCGATAATCTTTATCATAAACAGCAAAATTGCCATTGTCTTCGAAACTGAATAGCTAAATTGAACTGTGAATGAAGAAGCATTGCAGAGAGTCAGTACGAGTAGGTTTTTCACACATGCAGTTGATAGTTTGAACATTAAAGATGAATTATTACAATCTAAAAGGGTAAAGCAATTCTGTATCATGATATTTCTTGGTTTGCTACTTGAAAATCATGTTTACTTTTTGCATGAATTAAAGCAAAGGAGTAGTGATGTCACTGGATCAAGGCATTAACAGCTGGTCGATTCAGATGTTACTGAGGGAGTAATAACGACTCAAAGTAATCAGATGAAATTCAGGCTAGTAGTTAAGTTCTTTGATTGAAAAACTGCATTTGATATCTCGAATAAGCGCTTGCCAAGAAGAGAGGATGGATGAATGATTGGATAACTAAGGGTGCTTTCATATTAATACACAGAATCACAGTGTAAAGAAGGTCATTTCTACAGCTTATCCATTGTGCAAGCTATAGCTAACATGTACTAGACCAAAAGGGCAAATTATTTTTTTGATGAACAGGATTCATAATGAAATGGCTGGTTTTAACGGCTGCAACAAAGAGAATTGCAAATGCGGTTGGTGATAATAAACAATATGTAAATGAGAAAGAGGAGGCACTCCTCAGAAAAGGTTACCACTAGAGAAGAAAAGGGACTCTTTGGCATATTTTAGTACACAAAGAAATGGAGAAAACTATTGAATTTCCGAGTTAGTATGATGCATTATGAAAACAGTTTCTCCATGCTAATAAAAATTCAACTTATCTAAAATGTAATGCAAAATATCTCCTTAAAACAAAATCCTCCAAGAAATTTTCCGCTAATTTTTTTTTCTTAACAATACATTATTTTATTCCTGTGTCAACAGTGTTGTTAGAAGTCTCTATTCAGCAGCCACCTTCAGCCAGTGGTTGTGGCCACCTTTTGGTCATCCCTTGGAGAGTTCTATTGTTGTCATAATTATTAGGCAGCCATCAAGCCCTTGATATGCTATGTTTGGCTTTATTTATAAAATATGATAAAGAAAGGCCATTTTCACGATGACGAAATTTGACTACAACTACCTTATTACATAATTACATATTATAGGAAATTAACACTCCACGAAATTAAGGTATTGGAAATTAAACCGACTTATATTAACGTGAATTTGATGGAAAACAACTTTCGCATAAAGAAAATGAATGCAAAAGAGGAGGCAGAATTTCATTTAAAGGAAATTAACGCGATTAAGACACAGTTGGTGGTGATGATTCGAAATCTGTCTTGGCCGAAATCAAAGGAGAAGATAGTGACATCACTTCTGAAGGCGACAATGATGAAGATGAACGCAAAATATTGTAAACCTTCGCCTTAGCTTTCGTGAAAGATGAAAAATAAAAGTAAATGGAAAGAAAGAAAGCTTGTAGTTAATGTTTTTTAGGTGTCAACAATGTCTGGACAGGTTCCAAAATTGGGGTTAAAATACTAGAAATTAAGAGCGCGGAAATTAACACTGCACCTCATTAACATCGCAGAAATTAACGCTCAACGAAATTAATGCGACTTTAATTAATGCAAATTTTAACGATTCGCATTAATTTCATGGAGCGTTAATTTCCTATAATAAGGTACCAGAATTCATTTCGTTTTTGCTTTCTTATTCAAATTTGTCAATCTCGCTGAGGTTTACAAAACAATAGCCTTACTTTGCACAAGAAAACAATAAACTGAAGCATTCTGGTAGTTGTAGTACAATGGCATCATCGTGCATTGTGGACCAGTAATGCCACTCCTGTAGAATGTTCACTTCAAAATAAAGTCATAAAAATAAGCTTTTAGCTTAAAATTATCAATATTTAACGTTACAGCTGTGTCAGCACGCCAGAAAATACTTACTAATGCTTTCCCTTTCCAAAATAAGAATCCATTGATTGAGTTCATCTTCTGAATGTGCTGCTAAGCGGTAAGTGTGATCAACTGTTTTGATTTCAAAGACAAAATTTCGTCTTGGTTCATGAACTTTTAGGACTTCATAGCCAGGGTAAAGCGCCAGAACGCCTTTGGGTTCGGATTTTCGCCAATTCTTCGTTGCAGCCGGGTAAAGTTCAAGACTTCTGATGTTACTTGCCAATATGTGTTTGAACACGAAATGTCGGCGTTTCCAATCTTTTTTCCCATGTTCAACTGTGCATTTGTCAAGAATTCCCTGGGAGTGAATACATAAATAAGTTATTTGAATGAGCTGCGACATTTGACAGTGATTTGATCATGCATGTTTGATCTCGACTGACGTATTAGCGGAAGACTACATTCAGTTCCTCAGAAAATGGCCTTATATTGTGCAGCAAAGATTTCCTTAGTAACAAATGGCCAATTACAGCTCTATAAATCATGCAAACATTGAAAAATTTCCGTAAGTAGTTTATAAAACGGTTAATTACCTCGAACAAAACACGGACCTCCATACTTCGGCATCCTTGAGGTGATACGTGCACTTCCCTCCGAGATAGCGCGGAGACTGGTACCAGTGCCGAATTCCAGACCTTCAGAACTGAATGTTGACCTTGTCGACCTTGAGATAAAAACTCAGTTTGGTCTGAAAATGAAGGTGGGAGGGGATTTTTCTCAGTTTTGTATTTCACGTCACCCGTCTGGTCGAGTTCTATCTGCTTCACCTATTAAAAGAGCGGGACTATTCTAATTTTTCACCTGCATGAAAATTTTAATAAATGATGAACTAACTCAAATAAATTAGGACATTATTACTTTAGATACTCATCAAGACATAGGTAAAATGTTCTCGATGTCTTACAATAAATGTAATAGACTGGTCAATAAACATGCACCCTTGAAGACGCTTTCTGGCCGCAAGGCAAAACTATTTTCAAAACCATGTCTGCAGTCATGACCCTCTAGTGTACTCCGATATGGAGTATTAAAATATTACCTGAAAATATTAAAAAGTCTGTCAGCAGTAACCTGAGACCAGGTTCTATTTTCGTTTCGCTTTGAAAATTACATTCCGGCAGGCAAGGCGAAACGAAAAGAGATTTAGCGGTAGCCATTAGAGAGAATGTATGAGAACCGCTAAAATTGGGCCTGCCTAATGAGCTGGCGCGCGAAAATGTACGTAGCCTCTATTCGCAGGGTAGCGACTGCCGCGTGATATTCTCCCCCATCCCATCCCAGTCCTTTCCTTTCCTTTACCCCACATCTAGGCTTTGATCCCTCGTGACAAACCTCTGAATGGCAATCTGTTTTGTAAATATTTATAAAGATGCTAATCTTTCGCGCGGTAGGTGAAATCAACGGTGGTAAGTAAGATTAATTAGCATAATTTATGCGATTTTGCAGTAACGTAGTCACGGCTGTAATAAACCGTCATGGAGGGTTATAAGGTATGATTCTGCAATGATTTGTCTTGATATGCAGCCTTTTTGACCATATGCACATTTCTTTCCTTTTAAGCTCCATCAACGACTCGGCAAGGGAGCTCAGGGCTCTGTATTTTTAGCAGAAAACAAGCTGGACAAGAAAATGTATGTCCTGAAAAAGGTGAGCTCACTGAACTGACTTGAACTTTTTAATTGATGACTTTTTTATGTAAAAGCTTGTTGAGAAATGAAGCAAATGACAGTACTTATCATCTATTAGTTTAACAGTGTGTGTGTGTTTGTGTGTGTGTGTGGAGAAGAAACTTCGAACCGTGCCCAACGAACACTGTTCAGAGCAGCTGTCTATTCAGTTAGAGAACCATTCCTCGAATGTCAAGAGGCTGCATTCCACGGTCGTTTGTTTTGGTGTTGAGTTAATATTCTTAGCAACCAGATTTGTAAGTTGTAACGTTTTCGAAAAAGTCTCGCTTACTGTCATTTTTATTCAACTCTATGACAAAACCCTTTGATGCCGGCGTTTACTTCAGAAAATAATTTAGGCAAACACAAATTCGTGATCGATGATGATCAATTGAAGCGACTTCGAACAGCAAGCTGATGTAAATATAAATTTATTGCATGATCAAAGGCAAAGCTGATAAAACAAGTAACAGATGTTTTCCCTGATGCTTGCAAAACATTTCAGTCCTTGGACAAAATATCATTCAGGCTTTATTTAGTTTAAGTAGCTTTACACTTGTGTTATTAGGTTTTATCGATTATCATTGGCTTTGAGATTTACATTCTTTTAGTTACCATATTAACAGAACCTGTAATGCAAAACGATCACAGTAAATAATTAAGGCAGACGCTCGGAAAGCTGAAATTTGTTCAGAGAACTCCCAGCCCAACCTAAGCTCTGCGATCCAAAGTTCCTAAGAAGATCATCAGATAGAAAACAAAACATTTATGGGCGCGATCTCAATGTATTAAAAAAACTGAGAATTAAAATGCAAGAAGCTTCGACCCATTTTGTATTTAAAATGCTTACTACTTATTATATGTACGTACTTTAAGTGAATTCTCTGGTCAGGCCTTTTAGTTTAAAACATGAACTCAGCAATTTCTAAATTATTTTTTGTTTAAAGTCACTTAGCCTTACCCTCAAAAGTTATATGAATCTGCCGGCCCTAAAGTTAACTGATATGTGGATTACAAGTTAATTGTTTGATTGAAATTTTATATTAAAATTAACCGGTCGAACTTCCCTTTTAGCCCTGGCTAAATTTATATATCATTGTTTTACTTTCGCATTTCAAATTGGTCCCCTTGATGATCTTGAGTTATCAAAATTTCCCCATATTTCTTCCTGAGGCAGGCCTGAGACTACACAGAAAAAAATGAAAACAAAACAAAAAAAATACTCATTACTGTATCAAGATTGACCGCCAAAATTTATTCTCCTAAAACCACATTAGCTGCATGTTAAAATATAATTTCTGCAAAACTGTATTACTCACTTCAAACCTTACTCTCCTCCCTCTTTGTATCTTTTTACTCTAAATTTTCCCTTTTGCACCCTCTTGCCTTCTCGCCAACTTCTCTATGTGCAATTACCATAAAAGTTGAAAGCCTAGTAATGTTGATGAGGCAAAGTTTAAGCACCGATGCATTCCTCTTTCTTACCCCAGAGCCTCCCAAAAGAGCTTTACTTGCGGGCTACTCACAATAACTTGGATTTTTATTGTTGGACTATTTTTGCTTTGGCAAAGGTCTAGTCAGGCTTAGTTCATCATCTGTTGAATCTCCTTTAAAGTGGCAAATTAATTTTAGTTCTGGGTGAGGGTTCCTGTTCCTAGCAAATAGCCCAGTCTCTGGTTTTAGATTTGTTTTGGTCTCAGTCAGCCAGGTCCCTTCATTCTAATCCAGATAATTTCCGTCAAGCTTATCCAATGACTTGGTGGCAGAGATAGACCAGACGAGACCAGACCACACCGGGGACTACATCCCAGGCCTTCTCTTAACAATTAAACAGTGTGTGTGGGTTCAATAACATTCCACATGTTTTAATTATCGAGTGAGGGTTGTCAGATGGATGGAAATTACCAATAACTGTCCTGAACTGTCCACTGATGCTTGAAACACCTGACCTTGATTGTTTTGGACAGTGTTATTATTGGTCAACATAATATTAAAGTGGCCTGTCTCTGAGTAGAATTAAGGTTCAATCTTATTGAGCCTTGAGCTGTTGGAGAGCACTTTTTAAATGTAAGTACCTAGATATAGTTAGCCACAGCTGCATTTCTAATAAAATAAATAAAATGTTAATAATATTTTTAGGTTGAATGCAATGATGAAGGAGAGGCCAATAAAGCTTTCAAAGAGGTAAGGGGAATTCATAAACCAATGATTGTTTGATTTTATTCAGACAGAAAACTAGAAAACTTCAAGGTTAAGAAGAAGTTTACATGAAAAATTGTATGAAGTAGGTGGCAACAGTTGTCTAGGTACATGCAATCATGAGAGCGGGATGGTCCCACTTCCACTGGGAAATACTAAGGGCCTCCTGTTAAGGGAAAATTTAAATATTTTGTGCACCCTAAAAAGTGCATCTCAGTTTATTTTGAGTGACCAGAAAAAAAAATTTAGCCGTGAGGATGTCGCCATTATTTATAGATACATTGTTGCACTGTATTATAGGACAAAGTAAGCTTCCAGGTGTTATGCTAGAGCACTACCCAAGCCTGATTTTTAAAATGATAATGTTATTACTGTAACAATATCTGAATAACAACATGTACAATTATAATATAAAGTAATTCAATGAAAGCAGTGTTAATTATATTAGAGACCTTTAGATTCGATGACGAGGACAACTATGTGTGCAAAATTTT